AAGAATTATAAGAATAAGAATTTCCACACATGCTGCAAACAGACTATGGCGTTGGGCTACGATTTTGTTGAACTATGACCTCAATTTTTTTCGTCAAAGAAATTTGGACACGGAGCTGTTTATCCACATTGATATCGAAATATAAAGAAGATTTTGAAGATACTGTGTTTGCTTCCCTGAAATCCGAAAGCAAAATTAGAAGCCTGGAGTGTAACACTATTAAAGAATTGTCGGTCACAATAGACGATATCAAAAGTCATTATAAAAAGGATACATTTATTAAAAAAACTATGAATGACGATAAGTTGAAGTGGAGTGAAACTAAAATTAAACCTGGTTACAATAATAGCATTTTTTGTTTCTAATGGAGTACTTTTATACGCGGAAAGAGTAGTAATTCCGTTCTTACTACAAAAAAAGTATTTTAAAACAGTTCAATGGCATTTTATTCAATTATATATTCACTATTATTTAAAATGATATCTTGCCACTCATCAGCTAGCTCTTCCATACCTTTTGAATAAAATTCCGCAACTTTTGATTAAAATGTTTTCAACGAATTCAGGAATCTGGTTTTCCTCATGAAAGCGATCGGAAAACGTAAGAATTGGGTGGTGACTCATAGAGATAGGGTAGAACATACCAACTTTGTTATGTAAACATTTCCTGCCTCATTCTTATGGTTTGGGCTTTGCTTCGTTCAGAAGGAAAGCAACATTTTTCCTGTTGACGAACGCAGCGCACTGTTCGTCCAAATATTTATGGATATGTTGCTCATATAAATGTGCGTTTAATATTTTATTATTTATCATTTAATATTTTATTTATAAATATGATGCTTATTTAATAAATCGAATTTAGTGTTATTAAACTCTAATAATATACTCAATATGAAAGCACACATAATACTTTAGTTTCTTACATGGAGCTCAGCTCTTCGGGTCTATACAAGAGATTTATTCTTGCCAATCTACTGCTATTTGCGATAAACTTTATCGTTTGTTAAATTCCAAAGTTATTCTTAAACAATTCCAATTCAAACAACTTCTTCTCGAAGACAACGACTTTATGGACCAAATTGCTACAATCTAAACCTCGCCATGCCTAGGTCCAACCTGTATATCGTCATAAGCTGCACATCTTTATTCCTCTTACGACCATGCATCAGCGCCATTTAGTTATACTCTTCCTTTAGTAGCTTTTGGGCATTTTATTTGGCGTTTCTTACTCATTTCACCCCAAGTAAAATTACTTATGACTCAGCTTAATAGATAACTCGTACTAGAATGGTGGCCAGAGCTAGCCTCGTAGATCATAAATGTCCTCATAACTTTAAGTTAATGCCTTATAGCAGCGGCCGCCAAATATTTTGAGCTATTGGCCGGTGTATTTCAAGACAATTTTCGAAGGGACCGGTAAGAGAGTTACGTGCATAACAAAACACAATAGTGTCGGCGATAAGTAAAAAAAAAAAATTAAAAAATGTTTCTGTGTTGGACGGTAACAAATGTTCCACGTCTTGGTACCAAATGGTCCAAAGCCAGATACCAAATGATCCACGGCCAGTGACAAGTGGTCCACGATCCAGTATCAAATGGTCCACGGCCCGATACCAAATCGTCCACGACCCGTTATCAAATCGACCATGGTCGGTGACACATGGTCCATAGCCTAGTACCAAATGGTTCACAGTCCGGCACCAAATGGTCCTCGGCCCGGTAGAGAATGGTTCACGATCCGTTACCAAATGGTCCATAGTGTCTGACACATGGTCAACGTCTTAGTACCAAATGGTCAAAGCCAGGTAGCAAATGATCCACGGCCAGTGACAAATGGTCCACGACCCAATAAAAATGGTCCACCGCCCGGTACAGAATGGTCCACGATTCGTTATTAAATGGTCCATGGTGGGTGAAATATTGTCCACGGCCGAGTAGCAAATTGTCTACAGTCCGGCACCAAATGGTCCTCGGCCCGGTACCAATTGGTCCATGGTGGGTGACACATGATGCATGGCCTAGTACCAAATGGTCCAGAGCCAGATACGAAATAATCCACAGCCGGTGATAAATGGTCCACGACCCAGTACAAAATGGTCCGCGGCCCGGTACAGAATGGTTCCCGACACGTTACCAAATGGTCCATTGTGGGTTACACATGGTCCACGGCCTAGTACCAAATGGTCTACAATCCGGCACCAAATGGTCTACAGCCCGGTACAGAATGCTCCACGACACGTTGCCAAATGGTCCATGGTGGGTGACACATTGTCCACGGCCTAGTACCAAATGGTCCACAGCACGGTACCAAATGCTCCTCGGCCCGGTACAGAATGGTCCACGGCCAGTTACAAATCATCCACAGCGCAGTACCAAATGGTCCACGACCCGGTGCTAAATGGTCCACGGCTCGGTACCGCTCATCGACTTGGTGGTTGGAAACCGCTGCCTCATACCATACTAGTTCAGTAAAAGTTAAATTCTTCGAATAGAAGTCGTGACAATATTTGCGTTACATATGGGCAGATATGTGATCCAGAATGCCTGAAATTCAACAGAACAGGGCATTCCTTAAAGATTTTAAAGGCCAACACTCGACTAATCTTCTTCCGACAATTCGTGTTTGTATAGACAGGTTGCTTTCATCACTTACGCACATATCTCATTTATTGCGATGCGGTTTGGATAAATTCAATACATCAGGGTCTCTCGATACAACGAACAACCTAAGGTCGAGCGCGGCTAGCATTCACGCATAGCACAAACCCCCCAGAGAGGAACGCGAAAGAGAAAAGCAGGAAGAAGGAAATTAGAAAAACGAAAGAGATGTTATTCATCATTGGTGGAGGGTGGATTCAAGAACAAATTTTGAAAATGCTGTTGAACAATAGGGTATCCGTTTGTTCTGCCCACGAGGGCGATTTGCTTCGGTCCCCTATTGATAAATGGCCTGAATTCTCTGCCGGAATGGTTGAGAAACTCAAAGGTTATAAAACACGCATCGGGCACAGAGTTGAATCGACACTACAAAGGATGAGGCGTTGGATAACGATTCACTTCTGTGCGATTTCGCCATCGTTTCCTTTTTTTTTTCTCTCGAGTTTTCTTCTCACAAATATTTTATCTCTAGTTTGAATTCATTTGTTCTTTTTCACCCTCGACATTTCACATTCTCTTTATATATAGATGGAAAATTATCTATCTATCTATTCATTCATTCATCTATCTATCTATCACAGGGGTTTATATCGATTTATCTAGCCTTTAAAAATCGTTTCATATCTCTCAATCTGTCTCTGTCTCTGTCTCTGTCTCTCTCTCTCTCTCTCTATATATATATATATATATATATATATATATATATATATATATATATATATATATTTATATATATATATATATATATATATATATATATATATATATATATATATATATCACAGTAGATTTATATCTATTTATCTAACCATCAAAAAATCATTTACATCTCTATCGATCCCAGTCTCTTCATATATATATATATATATATATATATATATATATATATATATATATATATCAGTCTCTTCATATCTATCTAGCTATCTCAATTTCTATTTATGTAACTCATTCTCGTCATATCTATCTATCTATCTATCTATCTATCTATCACAGTCGCTTTATAACTATTTATCTAGCCATCAAAAACGTTTCATATCTATCTATCATGCTGATTTCTGTCTTTTTATTGTCCTTTTCCTCATTTCTCTTTTGGAAAGTCTTCTCATTCTCTTTCACTCCGTATCATCTTACTTTTGGTGGTTTTAAAGATCTATCTATCTATCTATCTATCTATCTATCTATCTATCTATCTCAGTAGCCTCATATCTATTTATCTATCCATCAAAAGCGTTTTATATCTATCTAAGTGGATGTGACTTGGTCAGCCTACAATGCTTCCCAGAATAGTGGAAAGCCATTTGAGGTCGGCATCACATCACTTTTTGCCTCTGCTGCACGATCGGGCCCAGTCGGTTGCTATAGCTAACCATGTGATGGACAAGATCAAGGAGATAGCAGTATTTCTCAGACCCGGTCAGGTACCACAGCCAATATATTCAGTAGGCAATCAGGTCCAGTAACACTGTCCTGAAATCTACGGTGAGGACAAGTTCCTCATAATGTTCGGAGGGTTGCATATTAAAATAGTGGCACTGAACTCCATTGGACCTCTACTCTGGACAGTAGTTGGAGCCCTCGTAGACGCAAGGACAGCATCTCCTGGGACACCAGATTTGTTTCTGGCAGCTTCGAGCATCACTAGGGCACGACAGATGCACAAGATAACAGCGTGCCGTATATACAAGTTTCTGAAGGCAGCCCACACGGACTACTCGAAAGAGATGAATATATCGAAGAGGGTCTTAGCTTGGTGTGACCATCGCAAAAGGTCAAGGTCCCGAGTTTCATTTCTGGTATAGGGTGCTGACAATGGAACTAGTGATCCGTTTGTTGATCCAATCTTTCAAGGAAGCCTACTTCTTCCTGTACTGTCAGTCACTGGCTGAGCTAATATCGTACTTCATTGGCAAGAGCAATGTAAACAATGTATGGTGGCTTCTGAACCACTATAGAGACATGGTTACTCCAGAACAGAAGCATCCTCAGAAACTTTGTTGTATACACACAAGCCGATAGTTCTCAGTAGTAGCTGTTGACCAAGCTCACGAGCAAGCCAACGCTGTTATCAAGGCCAATGGTGTGACGGCGTGACTGAAGACCCATCAGCACTGAGAAGATGAATGGCACTAGCCCTGAAGTCAGCCACTTGTTTGCAGAGTATAAAACAGGATGTTAGGTCAAAGTGGGTACTAAACACGCCTGCCACCGTTAAGAGACAGAATCGACACAAAGATTGTTCCTTGAGAAAGTAGAAAAGTTCTCACAAACCATGCAAGATATGAAAAATCCTTATCAGAAGGAGAGTTGGGACCTGCTTTCGCTTGATGCAAATGATATTGC